CGTGGAGATGATCCGTCAGTCCGGAGAGTCGGTCCGGCTGAAGGTGCAGCCCATTTTGGAGCTGAGCGAGTTGAACCGCAGCTGGCTGAGGACCACTGAGGGCCCGCACAAAGACATCTCTAATGTAAGTAGTGTTGTTGAATCGTGTTCAGTCCACCAAAAGGGAACGTATTGTAACTTGCAAACCCAAATTCCACATTTACAGATTCTGTGCCGTCAATGCCATCGCAGCATTTCATACCTATGATCTAAAATATGTGTTGGCCAGGATTTCACTTTGGATGTCATGACAATTACAGACTTTTGAAATATAATCATACTTTCATTGTTCTGGTGCTCCTGGAGCTGTTATTAATTCATTTTCTTAATATGTACCTGGGGTAAAATTGACTAAAATGACCATACATACCAGCCTTTTATTTCCTCCTTCTAAGCATGTGGTTTTGCACCGTAAAGGTGATTTTATTTTTTATTTTTTTTTATTTTATTTATTTTTTTTAAAAGATCTCTCGATCGTGGGTGGAACTGTAATGACACTGGTAACGTGCTTTTGTGCTTGTATGTATGGGGGAGTGTGTGTGTTTTTGAAAAAGAGAATGTGTTGTGTGTATAATCCCCCGCCTCCCCACCCTCCCCCAGTCCTTTGACACCAAACAATAGGACGCTGAGGGAAACAACGGCCCAAACGCCGCCACAGACCACGGCCATATGGTCTTGTAAGACTTGGCCTGAGGCGCACTCGGTTTTTTTTTTTTTTGCTCGGATAATCATGTGCAACAAGTAGAGGAGCATCAAGTTAAACTCTTTATTAGCTGCCACAACAAACACCCGAATTTTGAGCATTTTTAAGTGTTTTAAGAGAGTGGGTGAGATTAACTTTGGCTCAGGTCAAGGGTGTGCTATGTTGTGATCTGAGGTGCATCAGTAGTGTTCTCACAGTGCTTTTTCTATTTTATACATTGCATTTTGTAATAAAAAAACATTTTGTAATAAAATAATTAGTTAATTAAAAGCCCCAGCATATTAGTTACATAATGAGGATGGGTGTAAATGGAACATCACACCCGGCGGTCCAAACAAAGTTGCCGCTTGTGATTTTTCCCGGGAAATGTCGCCACAGAAACCCAGTTTGTAATACTACAAATGCAAGGTGGGGGGGAATAAAGGCTCAATCACCATCGTGTTGCTTAATTCGCTGATAGATAGTAACGGATGTTTATTTAAATGAAAGTCCTTGAGATTATTACTTTAACCCCAGGCACATTCTAGTGTGTCATATTCATTTAGATGCATGCAATACAATATTATGCATCTATATATCTATTGAGACAGATGTTTCTATCAGTAAAATAAACGGCAGCACCACATTGGTCAGTGGCCAGATTGATTCAGAATCACACTGTATAGGAGAATGCTTCGCAGCGCTTTTGCGTAATGAAGGAGATTACCTCCATTCTTCTCCGAGCACGTCAGGGCTCAGACCTGGCTCACATTCGCTCGGCTCGGCGTGAAAGTTCAGTGCTTATAATCATGGGCGCCATACAGGGGTTTGTTTGTTCTGATGTAAAAGGTTCACGGAACAAGGCTGGTGTGCAGAAAATCTAAGACACAGTGAAAACAAATATGAGGTTAAACAGAAGAGGTGGGTCACAGTTGTGTGTGTGTGTGTGTGTGTGTGTGTGTGTGTGTGTGTGTGTGTGTGTGTGTGGTGTGTGGTGTGTGTGGTGTACTGTACAGCAGCAGGTGTGAACTTGATATGTGTTTTTCTGTCTGTGTGTACCACATTGTCTCACCTTCCAACGGATGCTTTTACCCACACTACCGCCATTTGGAATCACGTGGGAACCGTACCTCTGTGGGAATATTCTGGCACAGCCAGAGACAACAATTAATGTGCTTTCCTTTGTCCTTCATTTAACTGATCTTGACGATCATCATGACACAGGCCATCGTAAAAAAAAAGCAGAAAAATTAGCATGTGAGTGTGACCTAGAACCAGCAGCACTATTAATAGGTGGTTATAATAAGGTCTGGAGTCTGGATCTAGAGCTGTGCTACGCAGGTAGAACCATATGTGATGCATGAGCACTTACATTGGCTGAATGTATTTAAAGGTTAATGAAAGGCTTTGGCGTTTTGGGAAATATGCTAATTTCTTGGAGAGAGAAAATTCATTCAACAATGAAGCTACAGTCAGTTAGTTTAGCTTAGCATCAACACCAGAGGCAGGAGGAACAGCTAGCCTAGCTTTGTTCAAAAGTGTAAAAAAAAGAACCGCCTATGCCAGGACCTCTAAAACTCACTTATTAACATGATATATATTATATACTTGTTGTTGTATCTATAACTAGTTGTGGTTTACAGGGGTTTATGGGTTGGACTACTTCTGGGCTGGGTGCAGTGACTTCCTGGAGTCTCCCTCTGTCTCTGTCTACTTCTGTTTTTATCACGATATGGCCTCTGATCAGTCAGTAACATCAGATGGTTTGCTTTAGGCTGCGTAAAGCACCTCTCACATTTACACACAAAGAAAAAGGAATCTCCTCATCCATAGTATTGTTTCTGGCGCTACATTAATATAATCTCAAACATTTGCTTATTTGCCATTCAAAGGTTTAGCAGTAGATCACTTCTCAAGAGAAAATAAACTTTAAACGTGCCCAGACATTATTCTGGGCCTAAATTAGATCATCTCATGGCGAGGCCGAGTGTGCACAGCGGAGCACATAAACCTTTTGTCCATTGGGTGGCAGCCATTGTCCACACTACATGAGGCCAGAGCAGCTTTTCTTCTGTTTTGTTCCCAAAGCTTTCCGTGTCTTCCCCGATTCACTGTAAGCTCCCCATCATAGACACTGAGTTTTAGACCACACCACTGGACTCATACTCTAATAAAAGAAAGTAAAGCAGGATCAACTAATCCAGTGTGTCTAAACAAGGTGAGCAATGAGTGCTCATGCCTTGCATCTGTTCAGGTTGTAGATGGGGACCCTGCTGTACAGCATGTGAGGCTGTGATACCTGTGTCTGCTATTTGTTGTCTCACACATTCTGAAGGGAGGGGCACTGTTTGACAATTTTCCAGCTGGTTGAGGTAAATCAATTGGTCAGAGGCATTAAGAAACACAGTTGAGATGCCTTTTTTGTTGTTGCAGGGGGCCAAAAAGGGCCAAAAAGGGCTCTCCCTTGAACTGGTTAGTGTCTCCATGAACAGCACATGCCACTTTGTTATTGTTGTACACCTTGGTCTATTTGGCAGAGCTGATTTGACATTTATTTAGTACCTTTTACTTGCATATTTCATCATTATATCTACAATTACTTCATCATTTCAAAGCTGGCAGCAGCACCTTTTATTTAATAAAAACTAAACTAAACTATAATAAAATAAAATAAAATATGGTAAAAAAAAATTAGGAAAAAGCTGATCCATGTACTATTTCAATAACATCCCAAATCATACCGTTTAGCAGGTAATTTGACCTGTTTACACTTAATGAGCTTTGTAAAGGCTAAATATTGCATAACTTTGTAAACTTAATCTGTTTTGAGGTTTACTTTGTAACATCTGCCTTGGGACTACAGATGAACAATATCCTCTTGGCTAAAACTCTGGCGCATTTACAGCAATGTTTTTATTAATGTGCACTGTCCCCTATCAAATAAACCAATAAATAGAATAAAATGATGCTGAGGGCCTGATTGCCAGGATGGTCCACGGCCGACCTGATGCTCCCGTGTGGTCGACTAATAACCCCTGCATCACTTATCTGCCATGCCATGCATTTCCTGTCTTTCCGCAGCCCAGACACAGTTTTATCATTAGGAAATTAGCAAATGGTGTAATCTCCTCCCCGAGCTGCCCATTTAAATCACATCATCCCCCTCTCCAGTGGGGCGATGCTACCGCAGCAGAGAGTATTAGCACAGGCGTGGATTAGAAAGAGGTGGGGCTTCCAAGAATAAAGCTGTTTGGTTCATGATGGAGGCTGCACTTAAGATGCCCTCCACTCTTTACATGTATTTGATATTTCATAATTTACGCAAACTATTTTAATTGAGCCTCTTCGCACTTTTATTCGTGTCACTACAAGCGGATAGAACGAGCAGTATGCATTGCTGTTTTATTGAGATTATCAATGTGTGCGGTTACATCAATGGGTTGTCTGATTTGTCATCCAAATATCCAGCATCGTTCCAAAGTTGTGCATCACTGTTACATAAGGCCATGTTTACTTTCCGCTGCACAGGTGGGCTCACACCTGAGCATAAACCTGCTGCTCCCTAAGTCATGCCCAGGTGGCCTACTTTCAGAGAGAACTTCTGATTTTCAGGCCTTTTTGCTATTACGGAGTAAAATCTGGGTCACGTCCTGTAATTGAGGACTGCAGATTGTGATGTCCCATGATTCATTTCTGCTCGTAGCTCCTGAAGCATGGACCGCTGGTCAAACGCCTGCTTTTGGGGATTATGCTGTGTGGAGATTTTAATCTGAAATGACCAATAAATATAATACTTTTATTTCAGGGATTTTTGTCGTCTTGTTAGCTCTCCCTTTTCTAATATCTAAGGACTAAAACTCAAATTACTAAGGGTTTGGTAAATAAAGAAGTAGCAGATATTGTTGTTTGTTTGCAACATAATTCCAACAGATTTCATATGTTTTAAGGATTTAACTGGGTCAGAATCCACAGTGTTTATGGAGTATAGAGTCCTTAATCTTTGGTCTGCAAAAACCTTGTGTAGACACGATGCTGCGTCCCAGTAACTGACTAAGGATTAGCAGACTGTGCTAGATAGACGGGCTAGGCTGTGTTTGGCTGGCCCTTGCTGAGAGCTAATAGGAGCTTCTGGTTTTACCATGAGGAAGGAACGCTTTATAGCAGATTATATATATATATATATATATATATATATATATATATATATATATATATAATTTGTTCCATTTTTGCACATTACAATTCAAATGAAAAGTTGTCTCTCGATTCTGAATAAATGACTTCAACAACAACCACTTGCTACTTTATATTTTGTACATAAGCGCTGGTTATTTGATAAATTAAACAGTTCATGAGCGTGCCAAGAATGGATTAGTTTATTCCTGCCCAGCCAAGCCTGTTACTTTATTTCCATGGCACCAACACTCTGAAAATCTACCTCCAGGCAACTATTTTTACCCAACTGGTTTTACAGCAATGCAGTATTGACAGAGTTTTCACATTAAGCCATGTCCTGAATTGATTTACTCTTTCAGACAGGAGTGCTGTTTGTTGTGTATCTGGACTCTGGTCCTGCAACCACTGTTTAGTGCATGATCCTTATCAACGTCACTAAACCATACCACATCTCAAATTTAGGTCAGTAGTGTGCCCAGTCGATACATTAGTTTATAGCTCCCTCTTGTGGTATAAAACGCATGTTGAGGAACATGCCTCCCACAAATATTACAGGCGTGCTGTGGCCTCAGATGATAGGCCTTTGTTTTTTTGCGTGTTTATGGGTGAATCAATGCGTGCATTACTGTAGCTGTATAGAGAGAAAAGAGGATTCTCGTTGGATGTTGGATGTGCAGAGAATAGTGTGATAATTGTGGAGAGGGGAATGGAAGATTAAATAAGCTGTCATTCAATTCTGAGTCTGTTTGGAGAAGGACATTGTTGAATTTACTACTGAGCCGTAGATCTCTTAACGGAGTTATTGCAGCTTTGGTGTTCCCCTCAAATTTAAAGGGCAAATAAAAGTGTGTGTATCACCTGATGAGGGGAAACCCCTTGTCACCAGGAAAATGGGAGTGGCAGTGAAAAGCACTAATTGTTGTGCCTCTGCAAATACTATTTATAGCCCCCTGTGTATTTCAGCAGCTGTCCCTCTTCTATCTCCGTGCCCAGCTCCTCTCACATTACGCCCCTCCACTCCTCAGACCACAGCGTTACTGCGACCCTGCCCTCCACGTTTGCCCTCCCACACTCCCTCTCAGGGACTAGTGAGTGCGAGGTCTTTGCAGAACCCAGGTCCCTACCCTACCTCGGCCCCCGACCGCACCGCTACAGGTGGCGGAGCGAAGATTGGAAGGTTAACCAGGCCTAAAGAGAAGGTAATGGGCGCAGGGGCCTCTGGTGGACTGTGTGTGGGGGTGTGTGTGTGTGTGGTGAGCGGTGTGATCCGCTCAGGGTCTACATGCTCTGCTTAGCAGTTCCATTTGAGCCTCTGATGGCCTCTCAGAAATGGCCTCCTTTTGCTGCTGAAACTATTTATAGGAGTGCTCTGTCTCCTCAGTGAGTAGGAGGCCATTGTTTTGTCTGAACTGTTCATGAAAAGTTGTGATACGTTTGCCTGGTTACTGAGTATAGATGCAAGTGTGAAAATCCCATGTGTTGTTTGATTCCTTTGTCAATCAACCATTAATATCGCTGGCTTTAATGTATTTTGCGAAGTCAAAACACATTCAGCTTGATTGATTGATTTTACGACAAACATATGTAATCATTTCAGTGAGCTGAATGAGGTGAAGGGCAGTTTTTCATGCATAGTTGGAGTAATTGATTGCGAGCAAGGCCCACATATATTAATTAATCACCACTAGCGCAGGTGATTCTGAGCACAGACTTTTGGTCCTGTTTACACAGATCTTGTTAGATCGTCATGTCTCCCGCTTGTCTCCTATCGTGTGAAGAGAGCTATGGTTAAACTATCCATTTCACGTGTTTTATCCTCAGGGCTGCATGGTCTCACTGCCTTGTTGTGTGCAGAAAAGAAGTTCACAGTTTCCCACCTTTCACCCTTAAGTTGCCGTTCCTCATCACTGTCTCTTTTTTTTCTATCTCTCATCATCTCATCATTCCATACATTTATTCGACACGTCGGGCAGCTTGTTCCATGACTTCTGGCCTACCTCCATGGCGTACAAATCCCGCTTTTCATTCTGGGAGCAAAAGGGAAGTCTCGTTTTTCTGTGTGTGTGTTTATTTAGCCTTTCAGTTCATAAGTGCATGCTGTTGCTCGTTGAATGTGTGAACCTTTCTGTTGATGGAGAAAAAGCGTTGGTCTGAATGTGTTGTTTCATCTTGTTCTTTGTTGCTTCCTCTTGTGTAGGTTCAAGTTGAGAACAAGCCAGATGTAAGTGCTTCCCCCCCCACCAGCATGCTTTTGGCCACTAATTCACATGATGAAGGAACAGTTTTGTGTGCGCTGGTACAAGATAACTAATCATGATCATGACCTTCTGCCAGCTAATGTCAGGTTACTAAACAATAAGTTGAATTTAGGTATATGGTGATGACAAATACAGTTTCTTCATCAATAAATACTTACTGATAGGACTTGAGGTGATGTTCATTACTCCCATTACACTGAGCATCATGTGTCTGAAACACAGTGTCTGCAAAACAAAAGTTATGTTTATATATTTAGTGTTTCTCATCTAAATGCATTGTGTGCATCCTTGAAGTCTGACAAATGTTTTGAGTACTTTCGCAACAGTTTGCCAATAAGCTCCAAAGTTAGAATAAAATTGAATTTTTTGAATAAGCCTTTCCACAGAGTTTCTGAGCCCAGAACCTGGTGATGAAATCTTTGACAGTTTATCTGCACCAGCCGTAGGTATAATCTGTACTATTGTCTGCCTTGCTCTGTTTGTATCCAGTCCGATGGAGATAGTAGTCCGCCTCAGGCAGCCACTAAACCTGGGCTAGACACAGGGAGCGGTCCACAGTCGACGGCGTCGTCAGCTGAAGAGTCAAATAGTAACGTTGCCATGGGCGGCTCGGACAGTCCGGGGGAGGAGCAGAGCTCCAGCGGCAAAAACGTGGCGAGGGTCGCGAGGAGAGTCGTCAGGCGCGTGGTTCCTGTTGTGACGGTAGAGCAGAACCAGCCTGTTTCAGTTTCCGAGTCTGCGAGGGCCGCCTCCGCTGCAGACTACCAGACCCTCAGGACCGCCAGAGCTGCTCGGCCGGACAAGGACGATATCTCCATGGGCTTGACCAGCCTAATGGGCAGAAGCAGAACCAAGGAACACCGGCCTCGCACCCGCACCCAGGACCGCAAAGAGGACACGAAAGACGAGGCGAAGCAGGAGGAGGAGGAAAAAACAGAGGAGGTCACATCTGTGCCCACTCCTACAGCGCCAAACCCCGCACCACCAAAGTTCAACCCCCTCATCCCTCCAGCTGGATTCATCCCCGCTCCCAAACCCAACCCTTTAGCCCCGCCTGCTGGTTTCATCCCGCTCCCCAAACAGAGCCTGTTGACACCTCCACCTGGTTTCATCCCTGCCAGAAGATCCAGTCCGGGGTCCCCAAACCAGAATCCCCTCGCAAGACCTCCGGGATTCATCCCAGTCCAAAAAACGGACCCCCTGGCTCCTCCTGCAGGGTTCATCCCAAAGCCTCGTCTGGTTGCTGTAAAGAAACCGGAGGTACTGAGTGAAATAGGTGCACGTTTGCTACTTAACCTCTGGGTGGAGCATGCTGTTTGATTAAAAACACAGACTTTTCTGTTCATGCAACCTTCTCACAGTGTTTACACTGAAAGACATCTTCAGGTTTTGGTTACCATTTCCTACAACTAGCGTTTTATTACTAAATGTCATCTTAACACGATTGCTCTTTTTTTACATTTTCAAAAAAAGTACAACTTGATTTCTGACAAAAAGGAGCCGTGACATAATGAAGCGAAGGGAAGAAGGGTGCATGTGCCAGCTCATGAACAGACTTCATCAGTGGGTGTGAGGGAGTGCTCATGGCCTGCACTCTGCTAGTCCGGTCGGTCGGCGTTATCTGCGAGCACTGAGCCGTGACTCATTACTGTCGCTTTCTGCAGGCAGAGCACTGACGTTGCGCTGACCACCGAGGCGGGGGGGGGCTCCGGCGGTTCTTTTGGGAGGCTTTTTTTTTTTTTTTTTTTTTTTAAAGAAACAGGAATCACGATAAGAATACAAACGACATACAGAGTAATCTAATTGCTAGCTGCTGCTAATCAAACAGCTCAAAACAGCTGCCCAGAAAACCGAGATCCCAGTTGGTCATGCATCACCACATGCGGCTGGAGCCTTCTCCCTCAGCTAAACTTTTACGCCTGGACTCTGATTGTGTATTTAACGTCACGGCCTCTCTTTCAGTTTGTACCTCAGACGAGGTTATATTTATGTCCTGCTATTTAGCGTCTTTGGCATTTTGTCTGCCGGCGGGCCATCTAAAAATGTGATCAACTGGCGAACAGTTGGTTATTTGGCCGTTGAGCTCGGGATTAGATTTCGGAGGTATGCACCTGGTGTTTTTTTGCTGAGGGGTATTGTGTTTACGACTTCTCGAGGGACAGATTTAGGTTTCTAATATTAAGGGAAGGATCAAGATGTGAACTCAAGATGTGCATTTGTGTGTGAGTGAGCATCCTTCAAGATTTGTGCCGTCTAGTTATTGGACTGTTCTGCTGTCGCTGGAGCCACGTATCAACACGGCATGTTTCTGATATCAGCCATTACCATTAGATACAATAAATAAAAAAAAAAAGAATCAGGATGACGTGTGTTTTCACCTCTAGGCTTTGTGTGGAAGTTAGTTGAATTGTCACTTTTAGCATAGGCGATTAGAGAATAAGTTAAATTAAAGCAAGCTTTGTAATAGCCCTACTTATCCTGATTGTCGTCTCAAGATAAGAATTAATCAGGAGTAATGGTTTTATCATGATTACAATAGTTTTTTAGCTGCACAACCTCAACTTGAAATGGAACTTCGATGTAAACGGCAGCAGATATGAGGGGAAATAAACTAGAACTATTGATCCACAGCTGCATACAATTACAGAGCAAATGATGAAACTCACTTGATGATTTAATTTCAGGTGCTACCCCCCAGATAACGTGCATGTCGTCGTAATTGTATGACAAGTCAGCTGAGACGACGCTAAACCATTTTAATTGCAACAGCTTGTTACTCAAGTAACCATTGACAAACAAAAGCCGTGAACCATTATCTTTGTGATGCGGCGCTTAATGATCCCATTCTCCTTGATAGTCGTTTCCCTTTACTCATTTCCTGATTGAATTAACTGGAAAATTGAATTGGCAGGAACAAACGTCCCACGGAGTTGGTTGTATAGTTCTGGATGTGTTGACTTGAATACAGAGTTTAAAGAAAGTACACCGTGCCAAAAACATCAACGTCATCCTCATTGTCACCTTCCCATGTCATCTCCATCTGTGTGTGCACGTTTGTCCGTCCCAACTGTGTGTTTGTGGACGTTTGCGTATAATTGTGTGAAGGGAAAGGAGACACCTTGTCCCCCTGCGGGCCCCGATGATAAGCCGTCCCCCGTTGCGCCGCCCCAGGCTCAGTCTGCACCGAATGAACAGGTGTGTGTTCATCTCGAAGCAAAGGTACACGCCACACTGTGTGTGTTTCTCACATTTTATATATTTTTTTACATGGCATGCTTCTGCGTGCCTACTCATATTTTTTTGTTTGTTTGTGTAAAGTGGATCTTGACATCAATTTCCTCTGCATCATTGGTTTTTCTTCCCGGCTGCCCCACTGCAATTTGCTGGTCCTGCTTTCCAACTGTAGGTCCCGGAGCTAGTTCCCTCTGAGGAGGATTACAAGCGCGTGAGGAGGATCTTCGCCATCAACGGCCACGATGTAACTTCTCTCTTTGTAACTTTGTTTGGTTTGCACCTGCCATTGCTTTGCCAAGGCTTACCCTGTTACCAGCCTGAGTCGACCCGGGTCCACGGCTGTCCCGAGCAGTCTGCCGACAGGGTTCTTATTACAGGGGTCCTCTGCGTTGTTGGTGTGAAATCTGAAACTTTGAGACCAAAGGGTGGGATCATTTTCTCTGTTGCAAGTTATGGAGATGACTTAAAGGAAAAGAAAGGCTTTCACGGCAGCATGAGCTGAACTTGTGTTCAGTGAATGTTGATGTTGATATACTGGAGATAGGACTGGGCGATATGGACAATACCTTTCATCCTGACATAGGTCATTTTACGTCTTGATAGCTATATATATCACAATATAGCATGTTATTGTAATACAATACATAGTCTATATGAAATAACCAGAAGATAAGGCCTCTTGTTGTATACTCCTGTGTGATTTAAATACTTTAGTGCTGTAGTGCTAAATGAGGTTGAATTAGAACGACATTGTTTTTATATTTGCATATATTGACATTAGTTAATTGCATAGAACTTAGTGGTAATGTCATTTAGGTTAGCAGATGCTTGTTATTATCAATTTAGACGACGTAATATCTCGATATGTGATTTCATGGCAATACGTTTCCATTAAACAGACGATAAATGATCACAATGAGTTATCGCCCAGCCCTAACCGGAATGAAAGAGATTCTGCTGACACTTTGATAAAACTGATCATAATCCATACATACTTATACATATCGTAAATGGTAATGCCGTGTGATTGACTGGTAACACTTTTTGTTTCAGAAACAACAGTTTGAGTTCTTTGAGCTCACTTTGCACACCTGGATTTAACAGCTGTAGCTCTGTGTTTCTCTCGCTCAGTGCCCTCCTCTCATTCATTCTGTAGCATTAACTGCTTTGTCATCAGGTCCAGGGGAGCACCTGCGTACTGCATGACTTCGTACAATGCCCATTGTTATTATTCTGGCAGTGCTTGATAATATGGCAGTGTATGCTTATTTCTTCTCTCAAAGTCCAGAGCACTGAAAGGCCCTTCTTTTTATCCCCCCCTGTTGTCTCATGTCTCTATCTCGGCTTCTCCGCGGGCCATCGGATCCCGACTCGCCACTGTCCTCTATGCTGTCTGCATGGCTAGCGTGCCAGAGGCCGCAAATCCTCTCAGGTACGGCCGGCTCGACTGGTGGGCTCGCCGCACTCCCTCGCCCGCGCAGTGCTGGAGTCTGAGCCTGTTCTCCTCTACTGACCCCTCTCTGCTCTACTTTGTCTGCGCCTGCCTGCTTGGCTTTGTCCCGTTAGCTGCTCTCTTCGGTTCATTCGGGGTTCACGCGAGGGCCCGGAATGTAGTAGTGTGACACTAACTAGTTACTAAACTTTGGGTCGGGGATTCTTGATTTTTAGATGCACCAACAAGATAAAAATAGCTTAATTTGAATGCGTTCAGTTGACAATTAACACAACATGCAGCTGTGTATTGGTCTTGCTCTTTACACCCACATATGGCTCCTGATGTTTGACTGTAGTCCCATGCAACTGTTTCTCAAATACCTAGCACTGAAAGAGTCTGTATCAAACTCCCTGAAATTGCTTGCAGTGATACAGTATATATCAGATTTCATTCTATCCTTGTGTTTACGCATTACCATACCATCTCTATAGCTAACTTCTTTAGCATCGACTACTACTCCTTCTGGCTGCATGGTGCCCTGCATTTATACCTCACTGTGCTCAACTGATCTTGTTAACTATGACTGGTAATATGCATTCATATTGTAATATCTTATGGTGAGTTACTTCACTGACTCACTTATTCTGCTGCCGTTGCTTGACTTACTATTGCACTGTTGAACTGCTGATGGTCTTGCCGCAGTGTTTTTGTATTATGTTTTTTTTTTTTTTACCCATACATATTTTTGACCTACCACACGTTTTATTTCTCCAACCGTGTCTTATTCTACATTGTTTGGAAACCCACTGAAAATACTGACTTCTTAGTTCTCCTTCCCTTCTCCAGTCCAAGCCTGTTGAGGACCCCGTGGCCATCCTTCAGGCAGCACACTCGGCTGCAGCTCAGGTCTGACCATGGCTACAACTGACTATAGTTATTCCCGTGTTTCAGTGTGATGTGTGCTTTTTGTGTTTTGCTTGTGTGATGATCGAGTAAAGATGGTGTGGGTGGGAGGACGGCTCAGTGGTAAGTGAGGCAATTCCACCTCCAGCAAAACCCAGGTTTCATCTTTCCCATCGCCCCAGCTGTTGCGTTTCACTTCCTGCTGTTCCTACATCTTCACCAAAGGGAGGAAATACAAACGATGTGCTGTCTCGGTGCAGCTATCCGATGCTTGTTATGTTAGCTTGATTACATGTCTGTTTCCATGCATGACTCACTCCAAACACTTTTGGGCTGTTTCTGTTTGTTGTGTTGTGGTGTTTTTTTGTGCAAACCCCCTAAACTCGTGTATTTTTGTCTTTGTGATGTACTTGTTTGTGATGAAACATCCCTGCCCCACACTCTGACTTTCCTTTCAGTGAACACATATAATGCACTCTCCACGAGTTCAACGCACACTCTGGGAGCTCTGAAAGGTGCTTTCAGAGGGATGGGGGGGGGGGGGCTATGAGTGCAGTTCCTGTGTCTCATGTGAATGTGAACTGCATGTTCATCCGTGCTCCTGAAAGTTTCCTTTGTAGGATCCTCGTGGTGGTCCATTACCCAGTATTCTTTTTTTCCTTATTTTATTTTAGTCCTCCATTTGGTAATGTTCAATTATTGATCGTACATGTGTTTCTCATGCTGAGTGTTCACCTGTCTCTAACAGGGAAAGACTGAGGAGCAGATAACGGCAGAGAGAGCCTGGTACTACACAGAGAAAGTATGGCTCGTCCACAAGGATGGATTTTCCATGGGTAAGTAATCATCAGCACATGTACCAGTACCCATGTGTCATTTCTCTATAACACATCAATAGCAAATTCTCAACTTACTATCCTTTCAGAGGTGACATTTGATGATTGTTGGACTATAGACGTGGATTATTGAAGCTTAGAAAATGCTTTTGATATTGTAATGTTGATAGAGGGCACCAGACTAGACTCGACCGCCGGCAATAAGACTAAGCATGCAGCTTGTTCAGTTTTAATGAAGCTCATACGTTATTGAAAGCGATTCAACTGCCACGCAGTATCCGACATGTAAAATAAGGTGAAGCTACTGCACTCGGCTCGAGATCATATGTCGGGGTGAATTAACTCCAGAATTTGCGGTGCTGCAGCAAATCTCCTGAAGACGGCGGCGGGCAGCCTGCCAGAGGGGAAGGTGAAAATCCGCCTGGATAGTGACGGATCTTTATTGGATGTGGATGAAGACGATGTAGAGAAGGTATTTAATCATCAAATCAACTCTGAACCGCATCAATTAGGGATGACACCGGGGGAGTACGTGACCGTTTTGACTTTCAACTCCAGGCAAACCCGCCGATGTTTGACCGGGTGGAGGACCTGGCCTCTCTGCAGTATTTGAACGAGTCGAGCGTGATGCACTCCCTGAGGCAGCGGTACGGCGGTAACCTGGTGCACACCCATGCTGGGCCCAACATGGTGGTCGTCAACCCCATTAGCGCCCCTTCGATGTACTCTGAGAAGGTAGGCTGCAGCCTGTGGATATGATGACACATCTCCTACGGAGAAGCAGAATATGAGATCAGAATGATATCAACTTATAAGAATAGTTGATATGCATATCCTCTTCTCTGTGATCTATTTATCTGCTTTACAGGTGATGCAAATGTTCAAGGGCTGCAGAAGGGAGGACACTGCCCCTCACATTTACAGCATGGCCCAGGCTGCCTATAGGAACCTGCTGATCACTCGACAGGATCAGTCCATCATCCTGCTGGGCAAGAGTGGAAGTGGCAAGACCACCAACTGTCAGCACATCATCCAATACCTGATCTCCATTGCCGGCAGCACCAACAAAACATTCTCCAGTAGGTTGGAAAAGGAACTCAAAGTAAAAAATACTAAGTGTAGTGCATGTTGTGCTGTAGTATTACTAGGACCCCCCCCCCCCCCCCCCCACCTTATTTGACTCTTTGTTGTCTGTAGCAGAGAAATGGCAGGCAGTCTACACAGTTTTGGAAGCGTTTGGGAATGCCTCTACATGTATGAATGGGAATGCCAGTCGCTTCTCCCATATTGTTTCCATGGACTTTGACCAGACAGGCCTGGTGACCTCAGCCTCTATACAGGTACCAATAAATCTATTAATCTATCGATCTATCTATCCATCATTCGTTCCTTCTTTGGCTAGCACCTTTTAGTCAAGGAGTCGACTAATCAGTTGTTTTAGTTGTTTTTTAGGCTCTTTTCATGTTGAATGACTTATTTCCCAAAAACTTAGGAGCACATCTCCAGTAAACAAAAGATTCAAAGTGGTGCTTTTGTATGATTCTTTGTGGAGAAACTCAGATTTACAGATCTGTCGATTAAATCAACTAATCGATTGATTAGTAGACTAAATAAAGAAGAATTTCTTTGGTCAAGGACAACCCTAATTCATTCATTCATTCATTCATTCAAATCACTGGTGCTCAACCTCTGAATTTCCTACTCGTACAAATCTACTATATGATTTCAGACAATGTGTCATAAAACTAGTTCAAATGTTCACCTCCAGCAGGCTTTGTTGTTACACTTACTTGCACTGCCTGTAGTAAACATTACTTTCTGTCATGCTAACATCCTGTTCTGCTGCGGCCTTGCAGACTATGCTTCTGGAGAAGACGAGGGTGACAAGAAGACCAGGGGGAGAGTCCACTTTTAATGTCTTTTACTACCTGATGGCTGGACTAGACAGCTCCCTTAGGTCAGGATGAATACTATTACGCCCATTCAATGCACACTGCACCACAATTCTGTACTGGATTAATACGTTGATTTGTAGCAATGATGTGTTACTGCTTCTCTGTTATGAAGAAATTAGTAGTCATGGGAGATGTTGACGTCTTCCGGGCTGTTCTCATTCCTTTATCAGAACGGAGCTGCACCTGAACCACTTTGCCGAAAACAATGCATTTGGAATCATGCCTCAGACAAAGGTAAATACGACTTGTTAATGGGAGGTTGGCCTGTTTGCACAGTATGTGGTAGCCCAGAACGGACAACTAATACTTCAATTTTAACTTCCGTTAAACGTTCTAAAAGGAATTTTATTTGACGTCATGTGCTATCTGCCAGACTGAGGATAAGCAGCGGGCCTCCCAGCTGTTTTCCAAGCTGCAAGCAGCCATGAAGGTTCTGGGGATCAGTGGTGATGAGCAGAGGGCCTTCTGGCTCGTCCTCGGGGCCATCTACCATCTCGGGTCTGCAGGAGCCACTAAGGGTAAGATTGCTCGCCGAAAGGCTTTTCCATTCCATAGCTGCATCGCTTATTCCTAAGGATAATGATATAACGCAACCCAGTGACAGAGATCGTCTTGGATTTGTACATATTACACTACACGATGGAAAAGCCAAAATATCACAAAATGTTAGCCAGAATTATTTTCACAACACTTTGTGTAATCTCAAAAAATGTCAAGCCTGCTTTATCTCACTGTACAGTAGGTCACTCCTTCAGTGTGATGCAAGACAGCTGTAATCCAGATCCAGCATCTGCAATTTAAAAAGATGTTTTGCACTGATCTATGGCAGGACAAATTTGTACCAGTATCCAGGATATTTTTCCCGGGGTCTCATTTATAACTGTTACATACGCACAAAACAGGGCCTGAAAGACGCGTACGTCACCTGCTGACATTATCACCATCGGTTGTAGGAATCCAAGACGTTTCGCAAATGCATTCTTTAAAAGCGTTAAAGAATTCCAGAATAGATCGTCAATAGTTTTCAATGATATCTTCTAATGCTGTGCATATATCACCAAGTAGGATTTTAGTTTGTGTATAGTTTTTGTGCGTAAAATCGCTGCAGTGGACACAGTTTTTATTTATTTATGGTTTGTTCGCACAGATGCAGTATAATGTATACAGACTAAAAACAGCTATCTAATGCAAGTGTTACAGCTAACTGGAGACATGTAGTACTTATTAGGAAGTAGGATGTATTGAGGTGACTCTTGTAATGCGTGATGGATACACTAGCACTGGGATCTTTAAAAGGAAATTACGCACTAGCAGGCGTACGCAAGGTTTTATTAATCAGAATATTTCTTTGGCGTACGTTCATTTCCTAATTTCTGTCCGCAAACAGTTAGTGTTAATCAATGCACTGTTTTATAAACGAGGCCCCTGGTCACTGCCGAGCAGGTTCTGCTTTGACCTGGCAGCACCCATGTGAAATGAATGATATGAGATGCGTTGTATTTTTTTCATCTTCAACAACTCGGGTTAACCTTATTAATCCTTAATGATTGGATCATTATATATAATCAAAGCACAGCGGAGACCACTGTCTGAGTTTAATGGTCATGAAACAGTGAAACATCTAAGGACAGAAAGAATCAATCTGATTTTAGCTTCAAGTCTTGACAAACATTTTTTTATTGTCATAAGAAAGCAGCAGAGGCCTAATGGGAACAGCGGTCCTCTTAAACATGAGGGTTTGTTCCTGTCTTTGAAGCTGTTTGTATGATGAAACCTAATGTAAGAGAGGGTTCTTCTCTTTTTCTTTGCTATAAAGTAGTAGATCTGCCTCCCACAGCATTTGACTCTCGGTTTACCTGCTATTTTTAAAAGGCTGTCAAAAAAGATTTGTATTATGATGAGATTAGCATTTATATAGCATTTCCTCAGTATGAAATGCCCTTGCTTAAGATCAGTTACAGTGGGCTGTTGGTAGGATTGCATTTCACTGTATTTTGCATTGCAAATGTAATTGTAATGCACATCTATTAGCTTGATGGCTTTCAGTGTTTTGGAAGCAGTTTCAGAATGATTGACAATTCACAAGGAATAATGGAACAGTGAGTGTGTATTTGGTGCTTTTGACATGTTTGTTCGCTCTTCACTCTCTGCCTGCAGTGTAATTGCTAAATTATTTTCACAGTGATCCCCTCCAGCTGGCTGCCAATCTTTCTAATGGCAGCACAACACCGTCCAGGAACACTTTTAAAATGTTCAGCAATTATTATCGGCCCATAATACCGACGCTTCACAACATCTAATCTGCGAATGACGGGTACATTTATGGATTTGGACTGCTGTCTTTCTGTTAAACACACCGGGGTTCTCATGAAGAAACAAGGCATGATGGGATAAAAGTTAAGCCCAATAGTCAACACGTTGACGGCAATAAGAGTTATGTCTCCCTGTCAAAGGGAATATTTCATTTATTCATTAAGGTACTCAAATCATAATCTGGTCCATTAAAAAACATTTTTTTTTTGGCAGCCGGTTCTTTCACTGTGATTGATTGCCACAAACATTATGAAATATTATAAATATTTAGTGCAGCTTCGTAGTGGAACACAAGAGGGCAGCACTGGTCTCTTATCCGCCAAAACTAATTAAAGGGACCACCTGGAATGAACTTGCGTCTCCCTTGTATCAACACTTCGATCTAATAAGTGTAGATAAAAAACGGCTTATCAGACTGGATGCTATTAAGGGCAAGTATTATAAATATGTAATTATTTTCTTATCTTTAAAGGTTGTAAACTCTGTTATGTTTTGATTCAGTAATATCCTCAAAATATTGGCAAAACCAATTTCCTCTTTTTGATGATTTACCGGAATTTCAATAACCGTGGTGGCGAATGTCTATCAAAGCAAATATTCAAATGGCTGTACTTGTCTTGACAACCGTCCTGCTTATCATGAGAAGTGCGCAGGGCTGCTGCGGTGTTGATGAAACCGATAGAGCCCACTGCTCTCTGCGTGAAATCCCCCATTTCCTCTCTCAAGTCTCTGAAGATACCACTTCATGGTGGATTAAAACTGAAGCTTGCACTCATATCTGCATGTTTCCATCACTCAGCCACGAGAATAACAGAGGAATTTATGTAAATACATTAATTGTGTCCCCTAATTATAAGTTTTGCTTTCATTCTCAAGATAATAAAAAAAGGGCAATTATCACTTCAACTTCACAGACTTCTTTTTGAACATGAAACAGCAGTTGTTGAAGCGAGTGGATATGCCTTCTTTTTTTCTTCAACTGTGGATGAAATGTAAATGTTCAAGCCGCTAACATTGGAGCATGCTTTTAGTGCGTGTTCTCACCAGCTGTGTCAGTGTCAGCTTGACCGGAGACAGGCTCGTCACAAAGCTGCCATTCTAGCCGTGTGCCTGGGGTAGTTGGCAGAAGGGCTAATGGAGGTTTTCATGCACGTGTCTCAGCTGGCAGGAAACAATTTGCACGTCATGAGTGGGCCCAGAAGGCCGCCTACCTGCTGGGCTGCACCCTGGAGGAGCTCTCCTCCTCCATCTTCAAGCACCAGGCCAAGGGCACCCTGCCCAGAGCCAGCTCCATCCGCCAGGCTTCGGACGAAAATGGCACAGCAGATGCAGGTACTCCACAGACCGCATTTACCAACAGACTATTTCCTCCTATTCCCGCCCCCCCTCCACTCTTCTCTTTGTCACTCTGTTTCCACACACACATGCACACGCATACACCTCTGCTCGTCACTGGAGGGAAATTGCATGCTCTGGAGAAAGTAGAGCTTATCTTAGTAATGAATACCACAGCTTTACAATGGCTATTGACAGATAAGTACACACACTGTGTCGGGACAAGCAATTTTGGATCTGCTCCTCGTTCATTGTCCTTGAAATCATAATTGCCTCACATTGATTTTTCACACGCTTTGAAGGGCACGAGGATACAGTTAAAAGTCTGTCACATAAGGGATGGACAGAATTGACCTCCGCGTCACCTTCCCCGTACATCCCCTCGCACACGAACGTACAGACATCAACGTCCGTGTGCACATGAAAATATCCGCCAGGCACCATGGACGCACTGTTTTGTGTGATGGTGGGATGAATTAGGAGTTTTAACAGGTGGCCATTGCCGCGAGGCACAGACATGAGTATGCGTCGGTTGATCTGACCATTTCGGAAACACCTGAGTCCTAAATGACCCTGCTTTACAGAGACTATTGCACACCCAATTTGAATACATTATGCCTGCCTTTGGGCATAATACGCACAAATACGACTATTTTGCACATGGTTTTAGAAACAAATGTTTGAGCTTATACCGCTCTTTCTTCATCTAATTCAACTGGCCCTCATGATTTTTGTCGATGGAGATGTTGTTGTGAGCTATTTCTGATCCGCTCTTTGTTTGGCTGGCTCCCATAGCAGGATCCAAGGCCAGGACCACGGCCATGGAGTGTTTAGAGGCCATGGCATCGGGGCTTTACTCGGAACTCTTCACGACCCTCATCTCTTTAATAAACCGGTTAGTATTTCTGATCCTGTGCTTTCCCGAAGCCGTGGCAAATTGAAGATGGCATGTTGTTGGCTGCACCGTTATATAATGGAATCGTGCAGACTCCTTGTGACATCTTTGAAATGTTTCTAAATCTTGGCATCTTGAATAGAATCTTACACAACTGCAGTCTTTGGGGGTGTTTAAGCGATGCCTGTCCAGACAGGGTTGGTTTTTAACGGCTGTTATGGGTAGTTTGGAAGTATAAGATGCTGTTTTAACTTTAGCTCTTGTATTTAGCTTTTCGAATAGAACTAGGATTATGTTTAGTGAGGGTTAAGGTTAGGGATGTGGTGGAGAGAGCTAAGGTTAAAGCCAGGGGTTATATGCAGCGAATGCAATCAATACAATGTGGTCTAAAGCATCTCACTGTGTGTGTGTGTGTGTGTGTGTTCGCCCTGTGTGCTTCAGGGCCTTGAAATCCAGCCAGCACTCCCTGTGCTCTCTGCTCATTGTGGACACACCGGGCTTTCAAAACCCCAGGCTGGCGAAGCGCGAGTGCGGCGCGACCTTTGAGGACCTATGCCACAACTACACTCAAGAACGCCTGCATTCCCTCTTCTACCAGCGCACCTTCGTTCAGGAGTTGGAGAGATACAAAGAGGTAAGGATATGTGAAGTGTGCACGCACAACAAAACCCAGCCTCACTCTGGCCGTCTCTCTCTCTCTCTCTCTCTCTCTCTCTCTCTCTCTCTCTC